GTGGTATATCATTCAATTTCATGGCCCTGAGACTTGTCCTCTTGTTGACTCAGGCAGCTCTAAAGGACTGGTTTACTCAGCTAGCTCTTAAGGACTGGTTAACTAGGGTTTCCCTAAAGGAACAGTTTACTCTGCTTGCTTTTAAGGAACAGTTAATTCTGCTAGATTTTAAAGGCTGGTTAACTCAGGTTTCTCTAAAGGAACAGTTAACTCTGCTAGCTCTTAAGAACTGCTTAACTCAGCTAGCTCTTAAGGACTGGTTAACTCAGGTTTCTCTCAAGGAACAGTTTACTCTGCTAGCTCTTAAGGACTGGTTAACTCAGGTTTCTCTAAAGGAACAGTTAACTCTGCTAGCTCTTAAGAACTGCTTAACTCAGCTAGCTTTTAAGGACTGGTTAACTCAGGTTTCTCTAAAGGATCAGTTAACTCTGCTAGCTCTTAAGGACTGGTTAACTCAGCTAGCTCTTAAGGACGGGTTAACTCGGTTTCTCTAAAGGAACAGTTTACTCTGCTAGCTCTAAGGAACAGTTAACTCGGGTAGCTCTTAAAGAACAGTTACCTGGGGTAGCTTTTAAGGAACAGTTAATTCTGCCAGCTCTTAAGGACTGGTTAACTCGGCTAGCTCTAAAGGGACAGTTAACTCAGCTACCTCTAAAGGAACAGTTAACTGGGGTAAGCTCTGAAGGAACATATAATTCAGGTAGCTCTTAAAGAACAGAACTCAGGTAGTTTAATACAAATAGCTCTAAAAAAGGTTACCTGAATATAATAAGTTTTTTAACATTTAAGGTGAAATAAGTAAGCCTTGTATACATATCATTGTAACTTGATATAATTCAAGGTCAGATTAAAGAATGGGTTATAATAAGGTGAACTACCTCAATGTCACGGCTAATGGACATGAAAATACTACAGTAATCTAAAATTAGCTGAACTATAAGCTTTTTGTGTCATTGTTTTTTTTCTTTTTGGACATGATAAAAATTTATATAATTTATCAATTATATAAAAGCCCTTATAATTAAGTACTTTAAAAACAAACAGTGCAAACTATGAATGTATAAAAAAATTTCATTGATTAACGTGTCTTTATGCATTAATAATTCTAAATAACTGAACTTTAATGAAATTATCAAAATTTCCTAAATTATGACCAAAATATCCGCAAACTATGCAAATACTACCTAAATATTCACCAACATCTAAAAATATCAATAAAAATACCCAAAAATTACAAAGATTTTGTTTTTAATTATTCACCAAAACATCCTACATTAATTCACACCTGAAACCTTATTTATAAACTAACAACATCTTGTACCTTTATTTACAAAAATAATCAGTACAAAACAATAAAGAACTTAAACGTGAAAACAGAAAAGAAAGAAGTACCTTGTCCTCAAATTGATTAAATTAAACCTTTGCAAAATAAAACTTCCAAAGTTATAATGCCGGTGACACTACACTAGTATAAAGTACTAAAAAAAAGACAACTGCAGCAAAAATAATGTTAATATGCCAGGAACATTTGATTATAATATAAATACTGGGCATAAAAACTACACTATCCAAAGCCAACAATGTACTATATTGTCGATATGTTAACAATATTGACAACTATCCAAATTATCTATTAACTATCATATTTAACCTGTGTTTAGTACTGTACACCCCCATTGACCTGGCATAATAGTCTTGTCCTTATGGTCTTTAAGATGGAATTTGGAACAACCCATTTCTAGTTTAAGGGTATACCTTATAAATACAAGAGCTATCAGTAGGACAGCGTGCTAAGACAGTTAAACAAGAGCCTGGATAATGTAGAATTTTAAAAGATAATAAAGGGGTCATAACTCTGTCAAAATCCATGCAAGGGTTATAGGCCATGGACAGTGGTGACCTCCTATTGTGCTCTTATTATATGCCCTCAAATAAGTTTTTTTATTATGTTTTAGCCAATTCCTTAAAGTGGTTTAGGAAATACAAGAGAACTTGCACACCATAACTTACGGAAAGTGTGAGGGCTATGCCAACACCTGGGGAAGATACAATAGCATGTTTATCTTTTCATGCTAATGCTTATAGAGAAATATACTCCATACTCCATACAGGATAGTTAATATAAGCCCTTTGGCATGACCCTAAAACCTTTTGGCATTTACTTAAAGCATTTTAGCCTCGGTCTCACTTTCTCACTGCAGAGCCCAAGACCATCCCGGTAAGTTAAGTGTTTTAAGTAAATCTAAAATTAATCTCTGTATGGTGACTATGACTGTTAACATCATTTTCTTCCTTCTTTACAAAATTAATGCAAATTTAAAATTCTTATTTACTAATGAACTAGAACTGCCACTATCTTGGCGTGAATACCCCCGCATACCACTTTGTCAGAATCAACAGTGGCCATTTAGCGCTCAAGGACAACCTCCCTGCCAAATCTGAGGTTACTAAGCCAGTGCATTGCTAAGTTATGTATTCTACAAGCTTAAAATGTGAAAATGTCAAAATCAATACATTGCGGACAGGACATTCTTTAGCAATTGAGCAAGAAAAGCTTTTTTTGTCAAGGTCCCTGTGACCTTGACCTTTCGACCAGTGACCTCAAAAGTCAATAGGGGTCATTATATCATGACTCAAACCTCCATGCCAAATATGAAGACTGTGGGTCAAAGGAATCTTAAGTTAATGGGTGGACAAAACTTTTTGAAGTCAAAGCCCTGTGACCTTGACCTTTGACCTAGTGACCTCAAAATTAATAGGGGTCATCTACTAATCATGACTTAACCTCCATGCCAAATATGAAGACTGTGGGTCAAAGGAATCTTAAGTTATGGGCGGACAAGCTTTTTGAAGTCAAGGCCCCTGTGACCTTGACCTTTGACCTGGTGACCTCAAAATCAATAGGGGTCATCTACTAATCATGACTAACCTCCATGCCAAATATGAAGACTAATGGGTCAAAGGAACTTAAGTTATTGGGCGGACAAGCTTTTTGAAGTCAAGGCCCCTGCGACCTTGACCTTTGACCTAGTGACCTCAAAATCAATAGGGGTCATCTACTAATCATGACTAACCTCCATGCCAAATATGAAGACTATGGGTCAAAGGAAACTTAAGTTATTGGGCGGACAAGCTTTTTTGAAGTCAAGGCCCCTGTGACCTTGACCTTTGACCTAGTGACCTCAAAATCAATAGGGGTCATCTACTAATCATGACTAACCTCCATGCCAAATATGAAGACTAAGGGTCAAGGAATCTTAAGTTATTGGGCGGACAAGCTTTTTGAAGTCAAGGCCCCTGTGACCTTGACCTTTGACCTGGTGACCTCAAAATCAATAGGGGTCATCTACTAATCATGACTAACCTTCCATGCCAAATATGAAGACTAAGGGTCAAAGGAATCTTAAGTTATTGGGCGGACAAGCTTTTTGAAGTCAAGGCCCCTGTGACCTTGACCTTTGACCTAGTGACCTCAAAATCAATAGGGGTCATCTACTAATCATGACTAACCTCCATGCCAAATATGAAGACTAAGGGTCAAAGGAATCTTAAGTTATTGGGCGGACAAGCTTTTTGAAGTCAAGGCCCCTGTGACCTTGACCTTTGACCTAGTGACCTCAAAATCAATAGGGGTCATCTACTAATCATGACTAACCTCCATGCCAAATATGAAGACTAAGGGTCAAAGGAATCTTAAGTTATTGGGCGGACAAGCTTTTTTGAAGTCAAGGCCCCTGTGACCTTGACCTTTGACCTAGTGACCTCAAAATCAATAGGGATCATCTACTAATCATGATCTAACCTCCATGCTAAATATGAAGACTAAGGGTCAAAGGAATCTTAAAGTTATTGGGCGGACAAACTTTTTGAAGTCAAGGCCCCTGTGACCTTGACCTTTGACCTAGTGACCTCAAAATCAATAGGGATCATCTACTAATCATGACTAACCTCCTTGCCAAATATGAAGACTAAGGGTCAAAGGAATCTTAAGTTATTGGGCGGACAAGCTTTTTTGAAGTCAAGGCCCCTGTGACCTTGACCTTTTGACCTAGTGACCTCAAAATCAATAGGGGTCATCTACTAATCATGACTAACCTCCATGCCAAATATGAAGACTAAGGGTCAAAGGAAACTTAAGTTATTGGGCGGACAAGCTTTTTGAAGTCAAGGCCCCTGTGACCTTGACCTTTGACCTAGTGACCTCAAAATCAAATAGGGTCATCTACTAATCATGACTAACCTCCATGCCAAATATGAAGACTAAGGGTCAAAGGAATCTTAAGTTATTGGGCGGACAAGCTTTTTGAAGTCAAGGCCCCTGTGACCTTGACCTTTGACCTAGTGACCTCAAAATCAATAGGGGTCATCTACTAATCATGACTAACCTCCATGCCAAATATGAAGACTAAGGGTCAAAGGAAACTTAAGTTATTGGGCGGACAAGCTTTTTGAAGTCAAGGCCCCTGTGACCTTGACCTTTGACCTAGTGACCTCAAAATCAATAGGGGTCATCTACTAATCATGACTAACCTCCATGCCAAATATGAAGACTAAGGGTCAAAGGAACTTAAGTTATTGGGCGGACAAGCTTTTTGAAGTCAAGGCCCCTGTGACCTTGACCTTTGACCTAGTGACCTCAAAATCAATAGGGGTCATCTACTAATCATGACTAACCTCCATGCCAAAATATGAAGACTAAGGGTCAAAGGAAACTTAAGTTATTGGGCGGACAAGCTTTTTGAAGTCAAGGCCCCTGTGACCTTGACCTTTGACCTAGTGACCTCAAAATCAATAGGGTCATCTACTAATCATGACTAACCTCCATGCCAAATATGAAGACTAAGGGTCAAAGGAAACTTAAGTTATTGGGCGGACAAGCTTTTTGAAGTCAAGGCCCCTGTGACCTTGACCTTTGACCTAGTGACCTCAAAATCAATAGGGGTCATCTACTAATCATGACTAACCTCCATGCCAAATATGAAGACTAAGGGTCAAAGGAATCTTAAGTTATTGGGCGGACAAGCTTTTTGAAGTCAAGGCCCCTGTGACCTTGACCTTTGACCTAGTGACCTCAAAATCAATAGGGGTCATCTACTAATCATGACTAACCTCCATGCCAAATATGAAGACTAAGGGTCAAAGGAATCTTAAGTTATTGGGCGGACAAGCTTTTTGAAGTCAAGGCCCCTGTGACCTTGACCTTTGACCTAGTGACCTCAAAATCAATAGGGGTCATCTACTAATCATGACTAACCTCCATGCCAAATATGAAGACTAAGGGTCAAAGGAAACTTAAGTTATTGGGCGGACAAGCTTTTTGAAGTCAAGGCCCCTGTGACCTTGACCTTTGACCTAGTGACCTCAAAATCAATAGGGGTCATCTACTAATCATGACTAACCTCCATGCCAAATATGAAGACTAAGGGTCAAAGGAATCTTAAGTTATTGGGCGGACAAGAAAAAACCGACGGACGGCCGGACGGCCGGACAGCCGGACGGCCGGACGGACGGACAAGCTGATTCCAGTATACCCCCCTTACAACTTTGTTGTGCGGGGGTATAATTAACTGCCTCAATGCATTCCACTGCACTTTAGATAGGTAACATGAAATCTAGGGCAAATATTCATATTCAAGTATTGTATTTATTTTTGTCCTTTTTGCAAGCACTTAATCTTGTTCAATCTTGAGAAATTTCTAAAAATAACAAAACTTAAGACATTTAAACAATACCAAAAATTCCATTCTGATTTCATGGGTTTGAAAAGTATCCTTAATGGCCTAATTGTGGTTTGGATCCATAAGCCTTAATTCTGCACAATTAGTCACATTGGACAACTCATCCACATAGTCATGACAAAAAATAAATTTATTGATTCATGACAAAGCCTCCTCATGTCTAAGTGTAGTTTCCAGCCCTGAAACTCAAGACATTAGTTAAAAATAACACACCATTTTTATTTTTTATGAGGTTTAAAAATAGTGGCCACCCTTTTATGGAATTTTTGATGTTTACAAAATTTAAAAAATAAAATCTGACAAATTCCAATTTACAAACAAAATTTTAAGTGTCCCAAACCCCAAAAAAGTTTTAATTTAAATTTTGCCGAAAATTTTTTGTGGTCATAAAATCGCATCCCTAATAATTATGTAAACTACCAAAATTCAATGCCATCACTTCAAAACTCATACACCTGACAGTCACACTTCAAATTTTAGAGCTTTTTGATGTCAGTGATTTCCAGAATTTAAAGCTCAGTTTATGCCAATGCCTTATACCAAATCCACATTCAGAACCCTAGATGCAAGCTTTTATCATCATTAACAACAACAACAAATTCACATACATACAATACACACCTTATTTTCATTCATTCTGACTTCCATTTTCAACTAACTCTAGATCCTCTTATCAGATCCTCAAAATTTAAAAACAAAACAAAAACTGACTATCACAACATTTTTTTCATATAATTCCTACTGGGTGAAGAGCTGAAATGCCTGAGATATTGTAAAACATTCGCCATACATCACAATTACAAGTTCTTTACACCTCTCTATGTCAACAATAGTTAACTGTTCTACTCCCAATAGATCCATTAATGTCTGCAAAGTTCCAATCAAAGTCAATTCATTACAGATTTTTATTACATTGATACCCATTATATACTCTGATAGTTACCGCAGAAATAAGGAACAAGTACAATTAAAGCTCATCAACAACTGCTTGGAAGTTTTTACAACATGTACCAACAAGTGTTGCAATTACCATTGAGGCTTCAGTTCCTGGGTTTCAAATCAAACCATATTTTACTTTAGAAACCATGTACCTTTTACCATTGTGGGTTCTGGTGTACTCAAAACTTTAAATGTTACCACTTTGGGTTTTGTCTGTAGCTTTAATCAGTTGATTCTTCTGCTTCCAAACACCTTTAACCAATGTTTGTTTGTTTCATTTTACACCTTTTCCCAACAGTATTTCAGTCATACAGGCGGGTAGTTTCCTAACCATCGTTCCTGGAGTCAGTTACACCAGTACTAGACTACCTTCCTCCGCGCTAAACTACCAAAGTTTAACCAATGTGGGTTCTGCTGTATTTATATACATTCTACCACAGTGGATAGATAGATAGATTTATTTCAGTATTCAGTAAATGACATGGTAAAAACATATCCAATACATGATAAAACAATAAAAAACAAATATCAATGTAAAGAAATGCACCATATCAAAAACATCATACCAAGGATAACACAAAAAAGAGAACTAAATCTCTTATTTCCATTGTGGTCCTTAGATACTGATGGTTTTGACAAAGAGAGGCATGAAAATGACTTATCACAGTTTTAAATCAAAGAAAGACAAAAGTATACATAAAATTTTCAAATTAAAATAAATTAATACAAGAGCTGTCCGTAAGACAGCGCGCTCGACTTTTTTAGTGCTTGCCTATAATACAAAACATTGACAGTTAAGGGCCATAATTCAAATAAAATCTTTGACAGAATTACCTTCTCCTGGACATGTTTGGGAATCATGATTGTAAACAAGTATTCCAACTTTCAAATTAATATCTCAAACAGTTCAGTCAAAAAGTGGACTGGTACTAAAAACTTAACCAAGATTCTAAGTCGATAAAAGGCCTTAATTTTTAAAACAAATCCTTGACAGAGTTACCTTCTCTTGCGTACAGATGGGGGTAATGATGTGAAATAGCATTAAAAGTTTCAAAGCAATATCTCAAAGGGTTAAGGCAATAAGTGGATTTTACCCATATTCAATGTATTTTCTAAGTCAAAAAGGGGCATAATTCTGTCAAAAACCTTGACAGAGTTATGTCCTGCTTGTCTGTTGATGAAGGTCGTGATGGTAAACAAGTATGGTCAGTTTCAAAAGCAATACCTCCAATGGTTTTTTGAAAATAAAGTGAGGTGGTACAAAAAAACTTAACCAAGCTCAATACACTTTCTAAGTCAAAAAAGGGCCATAATTCTGTCAAAAACCTTGACAGAGTTATGTACTCTTGTCTGTAGATGGAGGTTATGATGGTGAACAAGTATGGTAAGTTTCAAAGCCATACTTGTAATACTTCTGAAATAAAGTGGGGTGGTACGAAAAACTTAACCAAGGTGTGACGCCAACGCTAACGCCGACGCCGGGGCGAGTAGGATAGCTCCCCTTTTCATAGAAAAGTCGAGCTAAAAAATCATAAATATTAAGACTAGAGGATAGACACCCTTAAAAGAGATAATTACCCATTAAGTAAATGTTTTTTAACAGATAATTTAAAATTGTATAATTTTGATTCCATCCTAATAGAAGAGGGGTAGTTTATTCCACAATACACATCCATTGTAAGCAAAAGACTTTGATCCGAAACCTTT